AAGAAGTAACAAAGAAAGGTTTCTGTATAATACTCTGAATAAAACTCCGTCCTCCGGGAAGTCTCTTATTAGAATTTATTCACTCAAGTGGGTGGGGTGGGGGTGAGCGCTTATTTGAGTTTGATTGGGAGGAGGAGGGGGTGGGCGCTTATTCGAGGCTGGGCGCTTATTAACTTTTTCTGCCTTTAGGATGAGTGCTTATTCGAGGTGGGTGCTAATTCGAGGTTGGGCGCTTATTCGAATAAATATGGTAATAAACTGGAGTGGCTATCCTTTGAAGGTGGGAAAGTCCCCTCTCCATCATGATCAATGTTTCACCAGGTTGTTTATAAGAATGTGAACATTTAATATAATAACGAGAGACAGACATAAAAATGGATCTTACGCATTTGCTTTGTATCTCAAAGGCTGGCACCAAGGGGACTGGCACCTCCAAATTATAATTTCTAAGGCCTCATTCAAAATTAATAATCTAGACCCCTCCACAGTTTTTTCAACCTTTAACATTAACAAGTAAGGGAAAATTCATCAACACCACTGAAAAAAGCACCTTAAAATTAGCATGATATAGCTCTGCAAAGTTGTGGAAATTTACAGACGTCTGTATGGTGGGGTGGGGCAAGTTTGTACCCTCCATCATACAAACGTCTGTAAAATTTGGTGACCTTGAGCAGCTATATCATTGTTAGCTTTTGAAATATCACGTTCAAACTTTTCAGTTTTACTTTAAATATTTTAAGGCACTCTTTCCAGTGTTGCCAACATTTTTTCTCCATAACTTGTCCACGTCAAAACTTTAAAAACCATGGGTCTATTGTGATCAACATCCTAAGACCTTTTTTCATTGGGCAATCAAACAGGATAATGATTCCCCAAGCCATAAATAAATATTGATACTATCTCATGTATATAAAAATATATATCTAGCTGGAATTTAGAAAAGGTTACCGCCAAATAGAATTTTTGCATCCAACAGTTGTTTTTCGGCTAAAAAGCATCTTCAAAGTAGCCATTATAAAAACTAAGAGTGCAACCATTGCTTTTTTCTCTTCTCCTCTGTATCTTCCTTCTCGCTCTTTCGTTTTCTCCTTTTCGTTTCCTTCGTTAGTGAGATCTTGCAGCTTATCGGGTCCAAAAAACCTGCCTTTTAACCCCTTTTGACTCAAATTAATGACTGCAACTTTCATTCAAAAAATCAGCTAGATATATATTTGATGTTTATTTTATAATAAAAAATGCTAATAGGACTGATTAGAATCCATTTTGGTCTGTACAGGGATGTAGCTAAGGATAACTTAAGCAGGCTTTTTTATCAGTCAATCTGGTTTTTTCACTTGACTGCACCTTATAAATATCCTGTATCTTTGTTTTCCATGGAGTAATTTGAGATGGTCTGGCAGCCTGCTCTTAGGGACATCCCTGCTGTAATCATACAAGATTAGTGATTAACAAAATCGTGGTCCTGTTGTTTGATATTTGTCCACTGACTGCAGGATTATCAATTTTTTTGCAATGTGTTTATTTATTTATTTAATATTTATTTATTTAAATGTAGGACCATCTAGTTTAGCTTAAAAATTAATTGTGTTATTTTTTAATTTCTTTTTGTTCAGGTTACTGCTTATTGGTGAAAATAAGCTACTAATTAAAAGTAACTTTCGTAAAAATCCGAAATGTAAAAACTACCTCACTACCAGGGATGTTTAAGTTGTTTTCAGGATCATTATTTCAAAAGACAGCACCAGTGGATCCTGGCATGGATATGCCATCATGTGAATTTAAGCCTGAACCTTACGAGGTGAAGATAACCTTTTTTTTTCGTTTTAAAGATAGCAAACTAAGAGAAATACATGAGTGATGACGCTCAAGATAATGTAAACTGCAGATTGAAAGTACAAATTTTAAATGAAGATATGATTGATAGATAGAAAGAAGATCAAAAAACAGTTCAGTTGCCATATTTATTTTAAATCAGCTGATTTAAACTTGTGTCAGTCACAAAATTTTATTTAACTTTGCACAACTTGAACTTACTCAGCTCTAAACTGGTTTTAGAAATTTTCAAGACATGATTTTGTCTTTTCTTTTGTTGTTTCCGTATTGTAATGATAAGATTATATAAAATTCTCTTATGATAATCCTTAGTAGTTAACTTGATTGTATTACACAGAACAGTATTTCTTGCATTAATTTTCACGTTTCTATAACCTGTTTTAATTGTGAGCATTGCAATTAAACTCCCACTGAGGATGCTAATGGTTGTTTACAAGAGTTGTGCCAGTAAAATGAGCAGCTTTACAAGAGATACCTTTTCCTCTTTGTAATGGTTTTCTGTTTACTTAAGTGTCATTTCTATTTAGCTCTCTAACTGTTGTGTACTTATCAATTTAATTAAAATAATGTCATATTTTCAAATTATTTTACTTTGTAATGATTTCATCACCAGGGGATCACATTTGAACATGCAAAAGAAGTAAGGAAAACCAATCTTAACCCAGCTCTGTTCACATATTACAAAAACCCAGTATTCATCACAAAGGTATGGCTCAAGTTGGCAGGTACAAAATACGTGCATACATGTAAGCTATACATATGTATATGTTACAGGCCAAAATTAAATTCAGGTTGATTCTCAATTTCCTTTGTCTCCTAGCCGTAAGAGACATAGGAAATTGAGAATCATACATATACACATAACATAATAAAATATAATTATATTATACAGCTATAATCTTCAAAAAAACGTTGTCAGTATGCAATAAATTGAGGCATTAGTACAGTAGGAAAAGAAGATGCTAACATAGCATGCACACTAGACAGATTTGATGTACATCAATGTACTACAAGACAACAAACAAAGAAAAACAAAGTTATGACCAGTACATGTCTAGGCCATGAACAACTGCAACAACAACGTTAAAAGAGGGGTGTTGTTACTTTAATAATGGAGACAGCAAACACAGAAGTTCTGGGGAGTTAATTGTGACTAGGCCGTGAGCTCTGATCGATTAATACATTTTTCATTTAATGCAGCTAACCTACAGCTGTAGCCATTAGGCTACAATCACTATCATTGCTACTTGCTGGTACCAAGCAAATCTGGTTATAATATTGTTAAGTCTTATAGTATTAATTTTTCTTAGCTTAAGTAGTACATTGAGGTGTGTTTTGAACATTTTTGCCTTCAAGGGTCACATGCAGTGGCTGTGGGATAATAATGACAAGAGATACTTGGACTTGTTTGCTGGTATTGTGACTGTCAGTGTAGGACATTGTCATCCGTAAGTTATATTGACAGATGTTGCAGTTACAGTCAAACCCAAACCTCGCTAATACAGACACTGAGGGGGCCATAAAAGGTGTCCATAATTTTATTAACTTTGCCAAACAATAAGATATGTAAGTGACACTACAAAAAAAGGTGTACATATATTCACAGGAGTATGGTCGGGGACTCCGCAACAATGAGTGCCTATTACTGCGGGCCCAAGATACAGATCGCTAAGAAATCTAAAACATTACTACAATACTATCTAAAAACAACACCTGATGTGCCATCCAAAACTATGGGCAGTGTTACAGGTCAAGGATATAGATTTGAAAGAGCGAGGGTCATCAGGGATGTAGGAAGTGACAAGAGCTTGTTTGTAATAACCGTAAAGGACAGCTTTAAAGAACTTGAAGAACAAGCAACAGATAGTCCAAAGTCTGCAGCAAGAGCACTCCATATTCTACTAGTTCTGTTAAAAAGCGATCTTTGAAAAGTTGTTAATGTTTTACAGTTCCTGATTAAAAATAAAGTTATATCCAGATTGCTAGTGTAATCTAGTGGTTCTTGTTGGTGCGCATATCCAAGGAGTAACAGTTGGATTAATTTCAACATGCCCAGTTACAGTCTTAAAGAAGAATTAACAGGATGTCTGTATAGGGCGGGTTAAATTTAGAGAAAATGTAAGGGCTTTTTTTCCCAAAGGAACAAAGCAAACTGTCCATTATGAGTTGTCCATATTAAGTTGTTGCCCTTAAAGCAGGGTTGAACTACATGAGTATTATTTTTGTGTCTGGAAGGGTTACAGTTGCATGTTGAGCTTCTAATAGTAATTAACTTCTAATAGTTGGAATTTATTTCGGTCAATTAATGTTCATAAATTCTTTTTTTTGGCAATTTAGCTGCTGTCTGTATTCCTGGGATGTCAAGACAACTCACTGTATATTTAGCCTTTATACAACCAGCCTGATCCCCTAAAAAAATCAGGTTTTTTTGCATGTACATGTAATAATTTTTTAAATTAATTTGTATGTTGATAATATTCCATTTAAAGACCAGTACCATGTAACTAAATTTTTCCATATTTAAATTTTTTAGCGGGATGTTTGGAGGTGGAGATTATTATTAAATTACATGTACTAGGGAATGGTATGCCTTTCAAATTGTTAATTTTATAAGCACACTGAGCAAGGTCTAGAGAAAAAATATATATGGAGTCAGAGGAAGGAAATGAATTTGATCCTTTTCTCACATTTCCACTCTAAAAAACTAATCCCTTGATTTAATAACCTTACATGTAGTTAAATTAACCATAGAATGCTAATAGCCTTGCATATGTTACATGTATGTACTAGTACTTTCTGACTAGCTGTACTAGCTACTCAAGCACTGATCATTACTACAGTACAATAATACAATAATTATTATAAATATATTCTTCCCTGTAGCCATGTGACAAATGCTGCTAAGAAGCAAATGGACAGTTTGTGGCACACAACAAACATCTACTACCACCCAACTGTTCATGAATATGCTGAACTGTTAGCTTCAAAGCTACCTGGAAACCTTAAGGTTAGAAATTTAAGAATTAAATGTAGATTTTAAAACAAATTAGTCTTTGAATACTGTTTTGTTGGACTGTTACAAGCAAATTTCTTGACTGGAAAAGTAAAATTTTGGCTTATCGATGTGAAAACTTCTAAAATTACTTTTTAGAGATCCTGTTGGTTAATCTTTTAAAATTCCTGTTATTTTTTACAACATAAGATTTTAATATAAGTGCTAAGATCTATAGAATTATTCACATTACATGTATGCAAAATATTTTAGAATTTTTTTACGTCTCTAAAGTTTTTTAAGTTCACGTTTTTATTTGTTATAGGCTCCTTTTCACATTTTAGACTCTGAAGTTAGAATCAAAGCATTAACCAGGAAGATAGCTAGATAGCAAGCTTTTAGGTAGGAAGAAAAGCCCACCAAAGTATAATAAATGTTTTTATGGGTCTTAACTTATTTGGCAGAAAAGTACTTTTGAATACAAGAAATGTTATTCATTATTTAACTACATACAGTGAATGTACTATTGTACAAGTATTTTGAAGTGCGTGAGAGTTGTTGTAATAAGTAAACACAACTTTTTGTTTTGTGCTGGTCAACATATACAGCTGACTAGTCCAGTTTATAATAATAATCAGGGTTTGACTTTATGGTCACATGTGACGGATCGCAGTTCACAGGTCGTGGGTTAGTGTACAAGTTAACTAGGGTGTAAATGTTGCACAGTTTTAGATGTCCCCCTTAGGATTTTTAATCATTTGCTGTCCAAATCATTTGCATATTCTTAACCAGCCTGTGACAAAATTTGCATGTATTTTGTTACTAGGTGTGTTATTTTGTTAACAGTGGTTCCGAAGCCAATGACATGGCAATTATGATGGCAAGAGCCCACACAGGAAACTTTGATTTCCTTTCTCTCAGGTAAGAGCTTCCCTTTTCCTGTGAATGGTTTGGTCTGTTGATTGCATGAGGTGCTGTAAATAAATAACTATTTATAGAATATACTTGTAGCAGTTGTTGTATCATGCTTCATGCTAATGAATCCGTGATAAGCTCCAGCCGTTTGAGCCTTTGGCTCATGTGCACCCTTAATTTTTACCTTTTTACGGTAGTTTTAAAAAAAGACCTTCGCACATGCATAAAGCGGTCTCTGATAGATCATAGTTGAATATAGTATTTTGATATAACTATGACTAGTGTACAATGTCACTGTGCTAATTAAAAAAATTACATAACTCCACCCCTCAAGAAATCTTTTTACCCTTCCACAGTCCTTCAAGGCCCTCCTTCTCTCAGTTTTTCAACATGTCCTGACCACTAAAGGCCATTTTTGACAGTGAGCCGTATGAACCAACTGTTTGGATGTTACTGATTATAGTCCTGTATCATGATAATTATGGTGTTTCTTGGTGTATTAGTGGTGGTTGACATTGTTGTTTTAAAAAATTCAGGTTTAGTACTTTGGAGTAAACAAAGCCATGGAGAAAACAATAGTAATAGTAAACAGAAATAACACATTGTGGTTTTACATGTAGCTTACTTTTTTTAAAAAGTTTCTTTAAAGTATTTGCATGGCAATCCAAACAGAGGAATGTTTATCCATAAGTTGTTAAATACAACAGTATAATTCCACTGCATCTCCTCACAGTACTTATAAGCTCCGAGTTATGAGTTTTGTTTTATAAAATTGGCTTTACGTATATGGCTCTACGCTCACTTTCCAGTTTGATTGCAATTAAGTGTTACATTTGTTGTAGGAATGCATATCATGGTGCCAGTCCCGGAACTCTAGGAATTCTTGCTCACAATACATGGAAACTTAATGTGCCACTGTCCTTTGGTTTCTTCCAGGTATAGTTAAAATTGTGCAAAATTTATTTTGCTTCATGTACTGGTAATCGTCTTGAAGCTAAGGAAGTTCAAATTTGATGGGTAACAATTTATCACAGGTTCAAAGATGAGATGCACAGTACTTAATGAAATCTAAGATTTTGTTGCCCTGTATAAGCCAGTTTACATGAGTAAGGGTTACTTTTTTGAGTTGTTGAATATAGTATTTTATTAGAACCATCATGTTCTTTAAGATTAATTCTACAACCAGCTGCAAATATGTTGAGACATTCTGACGTACAACCAGCCTTTTTTACTTAAAATTTCTGCTATAAGTCACACATCTGTGAGATATGATACTTAACCTTTCCCAATCACTCCACTTCATTTAAAGTTGTTCCTCCATCTTGGGTTGTTTCATTGTATCAAATTGTAGTAACTTTGACATTAGGGGAGGGGCGCCAGGGGACAGGCTATCAAAGCCTAAATGTGGTACAGTGTTTCAAGTACACTTGTTAATTTTTGCTACTGGTTGTACAATGTAGCATGCATGGATTCTATGCAAATGAGACCTGTCCCAAGCAATTCCAAAAAAAAAAACTTCATTTAAAGCGTACAATGTAGGCTAGGACACAGAGGACCTTTCTGTTCCTGTAATTTGAGCTTATGGAGTTTCATTGGATTGCTACTAATGATAACACAAACACTTTGCTTTATAGACTATGAATGCAGATGTGTATCAAGGCCCATGGGGTGGGGCTAAATGCCGAGACTCAATTGCACAGGTAAGGTGATTTGTTTTTAAAGGTCACTATCATTAAACAGTTTTGGAATTGTATAAGCCTGGCCTGGCTGTTCCCACTTTCAGCTTTCAACCATCCAATGCAACCACCGCCCGGTTAGCTCGGTTGGGAGAGCACCCATCTGCCAAGCGGGAGGTTGTAAGCTCAACCCTGGCTGGACCAACAACCAAGGTCTTTAAAAAAGCTTGTGCTGGCTGTGATTTGAGATTTCTCAATTCAGATTATTGTACTCATTGGGTATCCTTCTTTCAATAGTCAAACCAAATGGGATGAAATCAGATTTACTAATAAAATTTGATTTGTATTTTTTTACTGTAGGCAGACAGGACCTGTGACTGTGCTGCAGGCAAGTTGGGAAATTAGTATAGTGAGGCTACATTAACCATATCCTAGGGCTATGAAAATATGGCCATATAAGGACGTGGTTGTAGTAACAATGTTCTCAAATTAGAAATGACTGATTGTGGGGTTTTAATGTGTCAAAGACGTGTTGTCATAGCTAATTAAAAGTTATTAAATAAAAACCTACAAACAATGCTCTCAACCAACGTCTACTTTGGAACCACTTGTTATAAAAAGTATAAGAGTAATTCCAAGGAGGGGTGGGTAAGGGGGTGTTGGGTGCTCAAGGTTTAGCTCAAGGTTGGTTAATGGTTTGTTACTTTGTACATGTAGGTCAGTGTATGGCATCCAAACTTTATGTTGATCAACTTAAAGATGTGTTGGTACACTCTACGAGCAAGAAAGTTGCAGGATTTATTGCTGAAGTCATTCAGGTTAGGCTAGAGCAAAATTCCTGTTTCTTTCTCAGCTTGCTAGTTTTTGTTAAAGGCAATGATTTCCTTGGCTAGATGCAGAAAAAAAAACAGATTGTCCACTCGAAGGAAAATGCCTCCAATCAAAGTAATCTACCAACTGAGCCACGGTAAACCACAGCGACATCAACTGAAACTTACGTCGGACTGGCAACAAACTTTAAGGAACGTTACAGAAATCATCAGTCCTCCTTTCGACGCTCGAACAGAAGAAATGAAACGGAATTCTCAAAATATATTTGAACTTTTCAAGACTCTAAGAAACCTTTCCAGATAAAATGGAGCCGTTTTAAAGACATGTAAACCCTACAGCAACATAAGCAAAAAATGTAATCTTTGTCTTTATGAAAAGTTCATCATCATTTGTAAAAAAGAGCTTTGTAGCCTAAACAGGCAAAACGAACTAGCGAGTTCATGCCCCCACAGAAACAAATATGTACTTCAGAACTCAGTAGAGTAACGTAACTAAGGCACAATCCATCTATTAGCTAGATACATTCTCTTAACGCATCCCTATAACAACCACCCAAATTTGCCTGCCAATTTTGAATCGTTGAGGTTACCTGATGAGTGTGGTCCTACAATTTCGGACCATACGAAACAGCACTTTCGCAATAAACGATCGATGACTACTCCTGAAGCCTGAACTCCTGTGAAGTTATAAATAGTCAATGCTCTTCAATTAAATGAATTAAGCGCTCTACGAAATACATTCTACCCAGAAAACAAGTATATTTTTTTAGAATGGCTATAGTCAAGCTGGATGTTGTTAGATTTGACGTGGAATATAAACGCCCTTGTTCTTGGTCACTTGTAAGATCTTACACATGTCATCGCTCATAGCGCAAACTTAATATTTCCTTTTGATATTCATATATGCTGATATAATTGTGTAATATATAGGTATTATACCTTTTTCTTTCTTTTCTTTCATTTTTTATTTCTTTTTTAAAAAATTTCTACTTAATTATCTATAAGGTTATGAAACCCAGTAAAGTTGTTAAAAAAAAGAATGACTATTCAGAAGTATAAAAAGTGTGATGGCGAAAAGACAAAAATTGTACAGTACGTCATTTATGAAATATTGTACAAGCATAATAAACATTTTCTTTAAACATGTAGTGAAATGGCTAACTAAGAATAGTATTGAAACCAATAAGTTACATGTAGATTTTTGTTTTTTGTTTTTAGTTTTTTAGCACAGTTTTAAATTACAGCCAGTTCAGTTAACAATAAGCCATTTATTGCTGCAGAATGCTGTAGGATTTTGTTTTTGTGAAAATAAAGGTTCTTTAAATCTCACTGAGCTATGTAAATTTAAATAAGAAACATAAAACAAAACAAATAACTAAAAATCTGCAGGCGGAGTCGTTTGCTAATAGTTTATTGGCTAGCTCTATTCATAGATAAACCGGCTGTCAGAACCGATTGTATCAGTTGTCCAGTTAACAATAACGCAAGATTTTCGCAAATCGTCCTTCGGACAACTTTACTCTGGTACGTTTGGTACGTAGGTGTAATAATATGATACCATCGTGAACTGATGAGCTTATTTAAAGCGAAAGGAGATGAATAATTATGTTCTATGGTTATTCCCTGCATGTTCATGAAATTGTTATCCATTGTTACAGGGTGTTGGTGGTGCAGTTCATCTTCCTAAGGGATTTCTTAAGGGTGCATATGAGCTGATCAGGGAGCGTGGAGGCGTCTGTATCTCAGATGAGGTGTGGCTGAAATTAACGTAGAACTTTTCTTATACACTGTAAGTAGCTTTTTTGAACAGTCAAATACTCACCTTTCTCTAACCTTCTAGGTTCAAACAGGATTTGGTCGCCTCGGAAGCCATTACTGGGGTTTTGAAACTCAAGATGTTGTTCCAGATATTGGTAACACTTTATGATACTTTTTAGGCTTTCTTTTACAAGGCACTCTTGCCACTAGCATCGGTGTAAAATTAAGAAGAGACAGCCTCTAATTTGAATAATTATGTTGACTATAAAATGCCATATGTCCATGACCATTAACACGAATCCTCTTTCCAGCGCTTCGTTTGCTAATTACATACAGTATTTTACGAAATAAAATTTAGATTATTTCTATAATTTTGAATATCAATTGTATCTATTTTGGCACTGAAACTTTTACCGTTTACTGTAACAGTGATATACACCATAAAGTAGGTTCTAACTGTTACATGTAGGTGTATGAAATCGTGAAGTAATTACCGTGTGGTGTTTTTTCTTTCTTTAGTTACCATGGCAAAAGGTATTGGAAATGGTTTCCCATTAGCTGCAGTAGTAACAACTCCAGGTAAGAAACAGGGATGGAGGGGGATGGGGTTAGTAGGGTTAGAGGGGGTGGGGGGGGGGGGGGGGGGGGGGGGGTGGGTTGGGGGGGGGGGGGGCCAAGAAATGGCTTTTTTCAGGGGCCAGTAAAGTGGCCACGGTTTAATGGTGTAGTGAGCAATATGTTCTACGGTTTTTGTGCAGGTGTATTTTTTTTTACTAGGGGGGGGGGGGGGGGGGGGGGGGGGGGGGGGGGGGGGGGGGGGGGGGGGGGGGGGGGGGGGAGGTGAAGGAGTTGATTACTGGCTGGCGAGCCACAAACATGCGTAGTTACCATGCACAGTACAATTGCCATAGTTATATGCTGCATATCAGAATGTTGTTTTACGGTTTTGAGCAGCTGTATTTTGTTTTCCCTATCGGCATTTTGGACAACTTGATAGCCATTTTGTTTTAGCCAGCTCATTTGACGCTACCACGGGGGCCTTAAGTTCAATGATCGGAGCTATGAGTCACCAACGTTCTACGACTAACGTCATCTTGTTGTTGATGTAGAAATAACCTTCTTAAAGTGGAAAGTAATCACAAAAAAAACACTGAAAGACTTTGAGAGACTTTGCCGATGCAACGGGTATTGTCGGAGTATTGTGAAACTCTTGCTGAAAAGTCCATTTTCGAGTTCGCTATGACCGCTGAATTAAAGAAGTGAAGACGCATTTTTTACAGCTTTAGCCTCGATCTGAAATAATATATACACAAATTCCAACGAGAAAAAGATCTGTTTATTAGTCTGTCTATTGTGTATATTCAAATTTCAAACACTTACTGGCCAGAATTTGTGAATATTTTACTTTACGTCGAGGCTAACCCTGTATGAATGTGTCGTTAATGTTTATATTCAGCGGTAATTTTTAATTCGAAACTGGACTATTGACAAGATGTCGCTGGTCTTATTTATCCTTGCTGTTAAGGAAAAATAATACGAATTTTCGATTTCTATCGTTTTAAATCATAATATTATTTAAAGCAATAATAACAAACAGTAACCAGTCCGCGTCGGCTCAAAATTGTTTTATTTTATGTTCCAGAAATTGCCCAGAGCTTTGCCCAAGCAGTTCATTTCAACACATATGGTGGAAACCCTATCGCATCAGCAGTTGGAAAAGCTGTTTTAGAGGTACTGAAGTAGCTTGGTCACAAAGTTAAAATTATTTTACTTAATTTAAAAGAACTACAACAGGAAAGAAAAAGAAAGCTGAAAGGGCAGTTTTGAAACTACAATTACTCAGTAAAGCTTTACTAGACTACGAGTAGTCCCCTGTTTTTCCTCAGGGATAGTAGAGCGTGGGTTGATTTTCACGCGCGCTCGCGTTTTGCTCGCTCTACTATCCCTGAGGAAAAATGGGGGACTACTCGTAGTCTAAGCTTTACAGATTCTGATTCTTGGGTAGTTTGAGCAGAAAATTGTCCTTCTTCAGTCGCGTTTCAGTCTAGGAAGATAAGTCACCACTCATGTTTGCACTTTTTTTGTTGACAGGCCATAGATGAAGACGGAACACAGAAGAACTCTGAGGTGGTGGGAACGTACTTTATAGAAAAACTTCTTGCTCTCAAGAGTGAGTTCCCGGATGTTGTTGGTGACGTCAGAGGCAAGGGATTGATGATTGGCGTGGAACTTGTGACTGACAAAGTAAGCCTACATCTACCTGACTTGTACTACTTAAATTGAGGTAGTCGCCATAGTGCATAAAATCCTTGCCTGCGTTCAAGCGTCTTCAGAAGGCTATTCTAGGCTGTACCAATTTGTCCTTGGTCCTTACACGCTTTTTCATTCTTTTTTCGCAAAATGTATCTATTAAACGTTTTTGTCATAATCCCAAAATTAATTCAATTATTGCTTGTTTCGTATTACCAACTTTCAAGTGAATTGTCATAGATAAAAAGTCTTTCTTAATTCAAGTTGGGAGTATACTTTACCATTTATTTCGTTGATTGACTCATTTCGTGGTTCTTTTCTTTTTTTCTTTCGTAGGTGCATTTGCTTTATTTAGCCCCCTCATTTCAGTGAAATAAGATAGATTACGTATTGAAATACTTAAAAAAGTATTTTGAAATTACGGTCACTCTACTGCGCTAATTCAGCCCTTTTCTTGCCAAGTTTATGTATTTTGGTCACTAAAAACTATATAGCAACACTGAAACTGTTTGTTTCCCTTTTTGCGGTGGTAAATTGCCCATTTTTTCAGAAATATTTTTGAGACAGCGTTGAAACAAAGTAAAGGCAAATATGTTTGAGTGCAGTTACACGTCCCTGCAGCACCAACAGCCGAACCTCCACTAACGGCCACTTTTTTTTGTCCTGGTGGACAATCAATCCATACATAGACTCCTGTTTAAACCTCTCTATAACGGCCACCTCTTTATAACGGCCACTTTCTTCTATCCCCACTTTGGCCGTTATGAAGAGGTTTAACTGTATTTTGTAATTGTAAGATTGTTTGTTTTGTCGTTATAGGAGTCAAAGACACCGTTGCCACCCGAGAAGTTTGTTCCGATCTGGGAGGATTGTAAAGACATGGGAGTACTAATTGGTAAAGGAGGATTATATGGCAACGTAAGTATACAAGCTTGTGTCAAGCACCCTCCCGCGCCGCCCCCCCCCCCCCCCCCCCCCCCCCCCCCCCCCCCCCCCCCCCCCCCCCCCCCCCCCCCCCCCACCCCCCCACCCCCCCCCCCCCTTTTCCCCCCCCTCCTTCCTCCCCCAAACAACGCCACCCCCCCCTCCCCCCCCTTAAAAAAACTTTTTTTCCTTTTTTTTTCCTCGTATTTTTTTTTTTATTAAACATCCCATAAACCCCTTATGTTTTTCTTTCCTTTTCTATACAAAAAAAAAGATCTTCTCNGTTTCCCTTTTTGCGGTGGTAAATTGCCCATTTTTTCAGAAATATTTTTGAGACAGCGTTGAAACAAAGTAAAGGCAAATATGTTTGAGTGCAGTTACACGTCCCTGCAGCACCAACAGCCGAACCTCCACTAACGGCCACTTTTTTTTGTCCTGGTGGACAATCAATCCATACATAGACTCCTGTTTAAACCTCTCTATAACGGCCACCTCTTTATAACGGCCACTTTCTTCTATCCCCACTTTGGCCGTTATGAAGAGGTTTAACTGTATTTTGTAATTGTAAGATTGTTTGTTTTGTCGTTATAGGAGTCAAAGACACCGTTGCCACCCGAGAAGTTTGTTCCGATCTGGGAGGATTGTAAAGACATGGGAGTACTAATTGGTAAAGGAGGATTATATGGCAACGTAAGTATACAAGCTTGTGTCAAGCCCCCCCCCCCCCCCCCACCCCTCCTCCCCCTTCCCACCACAGACCACAGACACGTGACTCATCTTTGCTCTCATCTCTTTCCTCACAAAAACTAGGGCAGTCACCCTTCCAACCGTTAAAATAAATTTTTACTGCTTTTTGTTCCGAGGATATTTCGTGTTAACAAAAACGTCAAATTCGCCATGTGATTGGCGTTACCATTGTACATAGAAAGAAAGGTCTTTCCCCTAAGTCAAAAATATTCCGCGTCTAAGAATCTTAACATGACAATGCAAATCGCTTGGCGACTGTTAATGGTAATACTTTCAATGGGATAACTTGGATTTTTTTTCCGATTCGCCTGTGTCACTGGCAAACAAAAAAAAAAGGGAGGAAGAAGAAGAACGAGAAAGCCCCAATCTTACAATTTCTGAGTACAACCCTTAAAATTCCTCATTGGTTATAAAGATTATGACGGTTGAAACTCTTCATTTCAACACTCCCCTTCTATAAGGGACAGTTTCATATATATGACCTCCCTCTATAATAAGGACACCTCTGAACTCTGTCCCTTTGGTTTTGTTCTTTTAACAGGTTTTGCGAATCAAGCCTCCTATGTGTATTAACAAGGACGATGTTGACTTTGGTATCGCAGTTTTGCGCACAGCTCTGAGTCGGTACACCCAAAGCAAATGAATACTTCACTGAAGTTAGATATTTCTTACACCACCGATTGCAATAGGAATACAAATGGTCAAGATATAAAACTTCTGCATTTCCTTTGTCTTCAAAGCAAACTCAAACTTCTTTATAAAGTACAATTCACATCAAAGGAACCGACCGGAACTTTTGGGACAGAATCGAATTTTATTGAAACTCTGATTAATATATTTTTACGTCTATGAAAAGATGGTATTCAAAACGGTTTGGAAAGAGCGGAGCAGCACCCCGTCTGTCATTTCTTCAAACTTCACTTAAATTTTAGATCATACGCTAAAGCACACAAATAAATTGTAAAATGGATCTCGATGGTTGGTTTTAAATGAAGAGTAGTCATTAAAAGACAGTGAAATTGACTGATTTTCCTTGGACTATAGTGCATTTGGTAGTGGCTCAACTTTTACTCGTAGGCCTTCGTATTTGGAGGTTAGTGGAGAGTGCAGCGTAATGTCAAGCCTTGCCTCGTCCTCAAGTGCAACATGATGTTGCATTTCTTCAAAAAAGCAAGAACACTCTTAAAAGTAGCGTTTACTCTAGCTTGCTTGGATTTTAGATAAGAAATGAGGAGACGATTAATTCTACACGAAACAGGATTTACTCGCTAAAGGTTTTTCACTTCCTATTTTATCGACGGTCAAGTATTCCTCAGGATATTTACTTTAATTTTTATAAGCGACGACCGGAAATACGTCCTTGGTCGCAGGCTATACGTGTGCATAAATACATACACGAAAATTCAAGGGCCTCGATTCGAGAAAAATTACATCATTGCCAGAGAATAAAAAGTCATGGACATAGCGCGTCATTTCAATCAACGCCGAAAATAAGCCGCACACTCATCACAAGACTCCTTTGCATACAATGAAAGTTTACAACACCCGATCAGTTAGCCTTACCATCGAGGTTTTGCTAATTACGATTCTTCTTCTTCTTTTTTTTTTTTTTTCGACCACTGAAGTGTTAACCTGGGTGCCAGAGACTTTTCTAGCGCGGTTTCCGGTTTCTGTCAAGTCTTTGGCTTCGCCACTCGTGGCTTCGGCCTACGGCCGAAGATGTGTCGGCCTTCGACCAATACAGAAAATTCCTGCCGCGCTCGAGAAAGGCCTTTGGTACCCAGGGTACTGAAGTGTTCACTTGTTCCAAAGAAATCAACGCTTTCAAGAGATAGAATTCGTGGAGCTACCCGTTCGTGAAAAGCACTTAATCGCATTAATCTTTCCTTAGGTTTCTTCGCAAAACATACGTGGCTTCGGTCACGCAACGATTCTTATTCCCAGTTTCCACGGTCTCCGCTAGGAACGCCTGGGACCATGACGTACATAAATACATACATGCATTTTTTACTGTGTTTTGTGTCATAAATACGAAGAAGAAAAAACGCCTTAAAGATTATGAGTCTCGCTGCTTACGCAAGCGAGACACTAATGAGCGTTGTGGAGGAGCTTTGCGTGACATAAAAAAAAAACGACTGCGAGGGAGACTACCATGAACTAATTATGAGTTTCAATGTTTTGAAACTCGCCTTTCGGGTCCCGGCAACTATTTTCTGTTGGTCGAACCTTAAAAGCATTGCTTTCCCCAAAACCAATCGGCTTTTTTGAAACGAATTACACAACCACACCACGAAAGCCGATGATAAGGGGCTCCGGTGAAGACAAGGTGTCGGGAGCGATTTGCCTTACTTCAAACCGACGAGGACTCGGTCAAGTTCATGTAAACAACACGAGATCCACAGAGTCACAAAGGGCACATTGAGCTTTAAAAGGAAAATTCTCAAGTTTGGTGTTAATCTATCCAATACTGAACAAGAAACTGCAATTTAAAAACTTGAAAATGTATTAAGAGATGTATGGATTGCTGGACACACTGTCCAGACGTCTACATTGTTTTAAAATGAATTTTCGAGATTTGGAATGGTTGTATCTCGTTTAGTATAAGCCCGATAAACACCAAACTTGAGGATTTTTTAAATTTAGGTTTCCTCTCTCTGACTTTGTGACTCTCATGTTGTTTCTCACATAAAAAACTGACTCGTACGCAGCCTCCCTCGGTTTCAAAATAGGTAAGGGGGGTTGAAACTTTGGCCAAAATTCCATAGGTTCACGTGACCTGAAGTCAGAGGAAGTGGAAAAAGATGAAACGACCAATATCAGCTTCGTTCATGAAACACCACGCTAAATGAAAGGCGCAGCATATTTGGGCCAAATCCTGCAATATCATTGCGTGCGATGATTGTTCAGGAGTGTCGTATGACCAAGAAATGAAAGCCAGCATTTCAAGAGTTCTCCTAAATGCGGCATTTTTACAGGTAACATCTACCTATGGGAGTTTGCGGTGTTCCTCGTACGCTTCAAAAGAAACCCGACCAAGCGTCGACGCTACTTTGTCGCAACCTTTTTTACAAGCTAACTACCGTATTTATTCGAATAAGCGCCCATCCTAAAGGGAGAAAAAGTTAATAGGCGTCCAGCCTCGAATAAGCGCCCACCCCCACCCCACCTCCCTCCCACTCCTACTCAAACTCAAATAAGCGCCCACTCCCTTCCCAATACCACCCCCCAAAAAGGAATAAGTACTAATAAGAGACTTCCCCGAAGACGGAGTTTTCTTCAGACTGTTTTGCAGAAACCTTGCTTTGTTACATCTTCGCGTTTTGTTATTACCATTACTGTTTTCTTGCAAAATATACATACTACACTTGTCGAAAATGGTGAAAATTTAATAAGCGCCCAGCCCCGAATAAGCGCCCACTATCAAGGTCCAAAAATTTAATAAGCGCCCAGGGCGGTTAATCGAATAAATACTATATATATTTTTTGCCTTTTGCTAATGCTAAATAAAGATAACTTTCCGCCAGAACATCATTTATTTGCCAAAAAAATTCACACTTTGTTTTAATGTTAGAAAATAAGCTCTGCACACCTCTGGGTATTTACAAGTTAGAATTAACTGTACAATAGAATTTACTCTGATTTAAACGACACAGTCTATAGACCGCACTGAGGAGTTTGTTAGTGTACTTAAGTGGTCGAAGTTCACATCTATATCCTAGATAACCTTAGTTACCGCCAGATTAAGCTTACAATACTGTAAACGTTTTCTAGAAAACTTCTGCTCAAAATGCTAAACAAGAGGTCCTAAAATTACTTAGTTTTGAATGCAACTAAATTCAATCGTTTATCCTCGACTAATACAAATAACTAATAACTATATTCTTATAGCATAAATACGCATAATTATAAAAAGCTGCATCGCGCCAAGAATAAAAAACCTACAATTAAATTCTTGTTTTACTAATAACCTCTTAGAAAAGCACCACATCGTAATTAAGCAAATTACAGCTTAATTACGAGCCACTACTTTTTTTTACACCTTTCTTCTTTTGGATCCCAGTCCCTGTTTTGTTACTATTTTTAGAAGAACGTTTTGCGTCCACACTCAAAGTAAACCTCCCTTCGGTATAATCAAATAGGTTAATTGGTGGAAGATTTTACTACTTGTTGGTAAAAGTAGTATTTCAAAGGCGGTAATCAGCAGAAAACAGGCTTGCAAAAATCTGCAAGCTCTTAAACAATTACTTGAAAACAGTTGCCCTTGATTCCTTTACATCAAGTCTCGTTGAGTTGCATGGGCGTGCGGTTTCCACTTCGATTATTTAGGTAGCAGCAAAACAGAAGCAACACAAAATGCACCGAGGGTGAAACTTGCTCGCCTATCCTTATGAACTCTTAGCTTATCACTTAAATATTACCACGCAATCGTTCTTTTTTTATTCAAGGAGCACTTAAGACCAGATTATGGACTTTTATGGGCTTTTCAGTCCATTCGTGGTGGACATAATTTCCACACAGTGCCTATCTTATTAAGGTTAAGTATTCCAGAACTTTGGCTTCTTCGGCATCAGAGAGTGCTATCTTTGCTTCCTCAGTGAAGGTACCAGAGGCTTCATTATTCCATCCCCAGGAGGAGGTGGTACGCCAAAATAGCGCTCCCCTGGGGGTAGAGGAGCAGGTGGCAAGGAATCCTCGTCGTCTGAGGCCCCATAGTAATGATCCGATGTCAATGTAAGAGAGTTATCAAGATCTCCGAGAATATCCTCAAGATTAAGGCTAAAATCTCCTGATCCGTTAGACAAAAGCGAGGGCACCAAGTCCAAGTCGTTGTCAACCGCTCCGCTCACTGGCAGCATCGGAGGAGGTCCACTCGGGGGAGGGGGAACAATGGGAAAATCAAAGTCAGGTGTCTGAGCAGTTTTTGCAGAGCTTTCTTTCTGCGCTCTGAAATTCCCATTTTTGTCAGTTCTCTCTTGCCATCCAAATGGTGGAGCAATAGCTTGCACTTCAACTAGATCAAGCTCTTTGAAATGCATGGGTGGTGGAGGAACAATTTTAAGGTCTAACGAATCTACACTAGTCGTAGACGCGGATCGCTCATCTTTACCGTCTAGCCAGGCCAAAGGAGGTGGAGGAATCATCCCTGAAGAATCTACACCGTTTCTGGTTTCAGTTCTGTCACGATCAGTGGTATTTATTTCGGATTTAACACCAAAAGCTCTTGGAGCCAAAGACGATGTCTTCGGAGGTGGCGGAGGTTTAATGTTCGGCGGTGCACTCTCTTTGTTGACGTGGTTCCGTTTTGTTTTGATATCAGGTTTTGGCTGACGAAACGGTTTGGAAGAAGGCAATGAAGCATCAACATCTCGAGTAGGAATTTCACTGCTGTCCTCTTGTTCCGCAAGACCATTAACCGGAGAATGAAAGCTAACATTCGCAACACGCGCTTCGAAAGTTGCCTCTTCCTTCGTAGAATCTGCCACAGATGATAAACGTGGAGGAGGAGGTGGTTTAAACTTTGGGGGGCTGTCCAGCGCAGGAGAGGAAAAAACCGAGGACGATGACGAGTCGAAAACAAGCCTAGCATTGTGGAGCCTTGGAGAGCCAGGTACAACAACAGGGTGACGCGGAGAATCGAGAGATCCCGGTGACGTAACTTGTTCCCCACTTGTGGAGGGGGTTGAATGCGATAGATTTTCTGGCATACTCTTCGGTCGATATGGGGCTGGTTTGGCTGGGGCCTTGTTGGCCACGAGCGGCTCACCTTCTTTAGTTTTCTTCTGTCTATAGGGTGCAGGCATAGATGGGGGCCCACGCTTTTGCACTTCTCCAGCCTTCGTGGGTAAATTACGTACGACATCCGTAGTGTAATACGCCTCAACCTCCATGGCCTTTCTCGAGACTTCAGGTGACCAACTAGTGTCCTCAACTTCCGAGTAGGGGCTTTCGCTTGTAACTGATATCCTTCTAGTGTCCTCAACTTCCGAGTAGGGGCTTTCGCTTGCAACCGATGTTTCCCTAGTATCTTCAACTGTAGAGTACAGGCTTTCGCTTGTAACTGATGGACTGCCTCTACCCACTTGGACTTCTGAGTAAATGGAGTCCGATTTTTCTTTAGATGGAATTGATGCGCTGGAAAGGCTGACATTGCGTACTGGCGGAGGGGGTATCCTGTCCTTGAAAGGGCTTGGCGGCGCTGGTGGCATATCCTTCCTGCTTTCAATACGCTTGTTAACCGGTGGCGTCGAAGGGAGAGGCCTTTTCTGTAGTGCTACAGACGAAGGTTTTATATTACTTCGAGGTTCTACAACCTCGTAAGTACCTTCCACCAAGTCTTGCGAAGGTGAATTATTTGTGCGAAGTTCCATTTCTTCCATATCTTCTGCAGTATAATGGCGACCAGGAAGCGCCGGAGGTTCTTCAGACGTCTCCTCGGTCTTCGAATTTTCAACAGCTATAAATACATTGTTACTTTCCTCGGTTTTTTTGACCACTGCTTTCTTTCGGGACATATCTGGTTTAGCGTAAACTAGTGGTTTGACGGGTCCTCCGCCTTCGAACATCGACAACCTACTTTTCACACCGCCAGTAGGAGAAGAAGTGACAACTACTTTACTTTCGGCATCACTACTAAAAACCTCTGCATAGTCACTGTACGTTTTCTCAATCTTAATGACGACCTCTGCCTCGGCTTCCTTTGGCCTCTCTTCTTTATTACTGTTGACAAGTTCACTTGGGGTTTTGGCCAAGAAGGTAAAGTTTTTGCCAGAATTAACGCGATCAGGAACTGGGGATTTCGGGTTTGGTTTGACAGGCGGTACTGGTTTTGGTTTCGGAGATACCGATGGTTTTTCCTTCTCGAAGGAACGCGACAAGGGGTTTTGTGTTGTCGGAGAACCACGGTTAACATTCACAACAGTCCAGCCATCTGGTTCTGACTCAACAAGCGTCGGATTCGCCTTCAAAATAGTTACTTCTGGGCTACTAACAGTTCCACTGTTTGAAGGAGTAGTCGGCGAACGTGGGGACACTGATTCTCGAGGAGAACGAGGTGACAGCGACATACTAAACGCCGGAGAAGGCGAGCGAGGTGACATTGACTCATTTAAAGATGGAGAAGAAGGCCAGCGAGGTGACACTTCGTCATTGACGAACGGAGAAGTGGGTGAACGCGGCCCACTGAATGATGGAGATGTAGGCGATAGATCACCACTCGGCTTACGTGTCACTGCCTCAACAGCTTTTCTTAATTCTTGCTTAGATTCCATAACTGGGTCACTCATGCTGCGCTCCATGGAAATCTTCCTCTGCCTTGCACGTTCCTAAGTCGATCAGAAAAAAGCTTTTTGTTAATCAATATGCGAAGGTAATTAATTGAATTTTTTATAGCGAACAAAACTGAACAAGAGGTTTAACGCTTTAAAAAGTTGGGAGCAAGTTGATGTGTCGTTTGATGTGTATGTTTCTTGTGAACGTTCTGGTTAACATATGCTCGTATAAGTGCCTTATAAAACGTTTACTGGTTTCCGTTTTCGCATGACAACGAGAATTATCACTGAAGGCAACTTGCGTTATCCGCCTCAGACTTAGGCTTAGGCAAATAATACGACCTTAGCCTTGATAATTACCGCTATCATGCTCATTCTCATCCAATAACTTGCTGACTATCGCGCTTTTAAAGGGCGGGATTATGATTCATAGCAGGAAAAAAAATGCAAACCTGTTTCTGTTGCTCTCTCTTTGCCTGCTCTGCCTTCAGTTTCAACTTGGTGACATTTTCAGCGTGCGCCTTCTGCAGAATAAGATAACATCACAGCTCAACACTTATTTACCATCTGCTTTGTTGACAAGGTGTTAAAACAAGTTGGAGATGATTTAACGCTGAGTTTACGGTAATAAATCAGATCTACTAAAGCAAAATGCAAGGAAAGATTGATTCGTAGAAATCTGACCACAACGAAACAATTCGTCGATGTTAGCAAGGTCTTTTTACTAATTTAATGTTCTTATAGACTTTTGTTTGTTTGTTCCTTTTTTTCGTAAAACGTTGGTCTGTCCTTCGAGACGTAACAAATACGAAGTATGCTCCATCCCAAACAACACAATGTGTATAAGTAAGCGGCGGAGAAACCCCACCCAGGCCACCCTTCTCCCCCTCAGTCCTATACACTCTAGCATGTCAGTCATCTTTACCACTATTATGAAAGCTGTCAGCTTTCTTCCCTCAGAGTCTCAAGTTGCCTTCCCTCCAAGAGTTCATTTACCTTCAGAAAGACAGACCTACACGCTTCCTTAAAACTGAAAGAACAATCACCATCATGCTGAACGAGCTGTCAAAGATTTTAATACTGAAAGAGACGCAATGGTCACTCACCTCAAAATTCATAATAAAAGCGGCAAAAATGCCGAAGAAGTCTTCCGTGGTTGCGGTAGTTTCTTTCTCTCCGAAGAATTTCACCGTTTCACGGAACTCGCTTCTTGATCTCTCTTGTAAGCTTAGCAGCTCGTTCAGTTCACCTTCAGTGTCATCGATTATACTCTAGAAGATCAAGATCAAAAGAAACGGTTTCAGTACCCACTGATTTAACATAATAGGGCCGCTGAAACGGGAAAAAATAAGAAGGTCTTACATAAGGCGCGTCTCAAATAACACGAACTGTGCCATTAATAAATCGAAAATAAAAAATTTCGTCTTAACTTCGCGCGTCTTAAGCAAGACAGGAGGGCATTCTATGAATCATTGGCGGACACAAGAAGTTCGCGTCCCGGGTTTATTCTTATAATGTTCTTAAAATTTCGCAGATTTCAACCTCGACATTCTTATAAAATATATTCTTATAAAAAAAAAGAGTGTATTTGGGTTCATATAAGAGATAGCTAACCTTGAAATTATAAAACAATAAATGGAATGGACTCATACTTTAACTGCCTGTGAAAAGCGATCATTGGGATCCTGAGACTTAAGCGATCTAAAGGCTCCAAGGTCAGACTGTAACTCCTACAAAACAGCAATAAATATCATAAGTCACAAGAGTTAACAAATCCAGAAACTGAGTCATCGCCCTTAAATACATAAGGACGATTTGGAAATGCCATGAATGGATTCTTTGCAGACGGCCAGTCACGTAGTACAAAACCGCCATGATGAAACGCAAGGACCACACTGGAAAAAAAAGAGCTCAGATCATAAAAATGGTAATTTCCTTTTTTGTTGTTCCGTCGCAGCAGTCACGGCATTGTACCACGTGACACACCATCCTCAAAATGCCCGTTAGCCAACAAAATAGTAGTCTGGTACACAGCCGTTTTTAGCGTCGTCACGCAAAGCTCCTCCCCTCCTTAGTGGGGAGGAGCGTTGCGTGACGACTCTAAAAACGGCTGTGTAGCAGACTAACAAAAGACTTCAAAAACAACGAGGAATTGTTATCCTGTGATTGCATACGTATTGACGACACTTGCGTGGTGAAAACCTCTTCAAGTTGAAATGCATGCAAAACTAAACACACAAACCTTCATTCCGCCCGATAATTCCTCTACTTCACAAGACACCATTTGTCCTGAAACTAACATAAATAGTCACAAATGTCAGCCACGACTTAAGAAAATAAACAAATATTTAAATGAAAGCATCTTTCCCTCACAACAAATCGCGAAAAGTAACCTGTGAAGGACTGAAGCAGAACGACTGTATTGTCACAGAACAGAACGGAAAACTTTTCCGTATAGTTCCGGTGGTTCTCAAATCAGCATGCTAAATAGTATATGTGTTCGTTGGAATAGGAGTACTTACTTTACGACTTCGCACATGGGAAAGCACAAAAACTGTTACAAGGGGAGATTCGCCATTGCAGCGAGGACGCTGACCTGATCACTTTAACAAATCTTCCCCTTACTTCGTCAGCTACCTGCGTTTTTATCGTATAACCATCTTATTTATAATAAAATACAGCAATCCTGTGAAGACAGTTCGTATACAGTTACAACAAAATTTTATCCTAGACAACACAGAAGAGAATTCATACCTTTGGCTGCAGTTTGCACCGATGGTAGTTCATCCTTAATGTTTAAAACCTCGGGGCATTTGGATTCGATTGTTTGAACCAAAAAGTGAAGAAGAGTTGACTTGTTGTCTGAAGTTTTGGTGTTACTAAGCTACATTATGGAGAGAACAAAACAGGAGCCATTAACATTTTACCGCTTAAATCGCTGTTTCACTAATTACAGTCACACCGTGGAGGAAATCCTATGGCATATCCACTCAAAAAAACCTCTATAGTACTATTTCCACATGAAACTAATTTTTTCTCGATCAAAAATTACTGAACCGGCTTGTTAAAGTTGCTCCGGTTTTTTTCTAGTTTTAATTCATTTCTACCCTTGCCATGAACCATAGCTCAAGACGTGGCGGCCTTACACTTTCAGAGCAATAGCGAAAAAATCGAGACAAATCCGTCTATTCTGGAGAAAGAATAAAACAAAAACTTACGCCACACAAAACCGTTCAATGTTTTTCTGAATTTAACTTAAGTGGTTCGAACTCATCTTCACCATAATGCCTAGCTTCCTGTTAACCTGCGACCAGGCGTCGGCGGACAAAAAAGGAAGGACCGCCTGACCACAGGTTAAGCTTCGTATCCGCGTCTTAACGTTTGTCTGCTTTGGATAGACAGGTTTACTCAGAAACTGACAGGATTCGTACTCGGTCATTGTCAAGTAAAAATGCAAACACACATTGATTTCTGCTCATTAGGGGCAAATTCTTAAGTTAAGTGTTGTTACTACTCCTCTCAAAAAGGAATAACTGTACATCTAAAATTGTGGGCCAACTTACCTTGTTCAGATAGTCAATCTTGAAAGCAGCAGCGGATCCTATTCTCATGTTTCCTTTATTCATGTAATTACCCATTTTTAAAACCAACTAAAATGACAAACAACAATTACTAAATAACTTTATATTTACACTTATTCATGAAAATAGTTACGGACCTCTTCCTCAGTCGGATAATAAGCAATCCTTGTACGTCTTAGAATTAAATACGTATCACCCTCCCTTCCCTTCCGTTCGTTATTTTCTCCATGTTTCGCAAGTTATTACAATGGAACCTCTATTCAAGGGACACCCTCGGGACCAAGGCAAGTGTCCCCTGAAGAGAGGTTGGACTGGGGGTTTGTTAATAATTACCATCTTTCTTTATTTATCACACACATGACGATTTCGACATTACTGATCCTAGCAGGACGCAGGACGCATGTCATACATGAACAGCTCGCCTCGAGTCCTTCGTAGCTCAGTGGTTAGAGCATCCGACCGGTGTACGGGAGCTCATAGGTTCAATTCCTGTCGGGGACCCAGATTTTTTTCTTATTCCCGTGCTCGTGACATGTTGATCGCATTATGTCTCAACAAAGGTAATATTTTTACTTTTTTATTCTGCCTCTGAGTCTGCTGCAGTCATTAAACGCAGCCACATAATGTAAAAATAAATCATGATAAACTTGTCTCAGCGACATTAATTGTTGAGTTTCCAAAGAACATTGATTTCAGCGAGATAGTTCAGTTTGTGAAAGCTGACATCATTGTGATTTGAGTTTGCACTTAAAGTTTTCAACCCTCTTTATGATCAGTCACGTTTTGTGTGCTAATGGAGGTTAAACCTGGGTTTCGGGACCAGAAAAAGTGTTCCTTTCCCCTGAGTAGAGGTGTTCCTTCAATAGAGGTAACAGATACAAATATTACAGTGTATGTGAACATTTTTTTCCGGGGCCAAATTTTGTGTCCCTTGAATAGGGCGTCCCAAAGGAGATGTTTCACTCCACCATTACCAAGAGCGGTCAAAAATTGAAAAAATTGAAGCAGCGTCCGTGTTTGAGCGGGTAGTCAACGCGCAAAGCGTTTTGAAAATCATCTGCACGCCACAAGATACTTCCACACGTACCTCAAGAATTTTTTTCAGTTTTGGACTCTTCCTTAACTCTTCTGAAGCCTCGAGAACGGCCTCAAGATCCTGCACAGACAGAAAGAAATCCAACAAAGAATATTAATGTACGACGCAGAAAATGCTGCGAGTGCCTAAGCCCAAACTTTAAACATACTGTTGCTTCGTTGAAACAAAGTCATATCGAATGCGGTACCCACGGTTGAAAAGAGAAAAGGCAGTATGAAGAACCCGTAGTGTTCAGAGATATTGCATCGGTTGCACAATTTCGTTAAACGGCCGCCTAAGGACGTTAAATGTGCACGGTGCTTGTCTCGACTCATGCCTTAAAAAATGAACTATGTTACATGTCTAGTGTGCTAGTGATCAGTCTACGGGACACCCAGATCGGGGGACTAATCGCCACTCTACCCAACTTCATCTCCAACACCGAGCGGGCATTGTTTTTATTGCACTTAGTTGCACTTTAAAGGGAACGACAACTGGAAACAACAGAAGGTTCAAGGGTTTACAAAGTTGGTTACGAAGTAGATCCCTATTTCGTCAACTCCTACCGGCTTGATTTCCTCCACTTTGTCAGCGAAACGAGCCTTGAATAATAACGCTTTCAGTCTTTGTTTATACCAAGGAACTTTACTCATCTGCAATAAATCAACAGCAAGGTGAAACAATTCTCTCTTAAAAAATATTACGAGATCTCCTGACTGTAACCGTTTTTCGGGTTCAAAATGACCAAAAAAAACCAGCCAACCTTACGTAGAGTTTTACATTCATGTTTGAATCGTTATCTACACTGACTAGCCTGACGTCAGTGCGTCTTTGTATACTCCATACATGGAAAACTAGCAACGATAAAATGTTTGCTTGTTTTTATACTGATATTGTGAGAGACAAACGTAAAGATAAAAAGGCAACAGATACCTCGTAACAAAATTGGTCCGCTTTGTCCAGCTTAGTGACATCATCAGCAAAATACTTGAATTTTTGAAGCTGAAAAAGAGAAATTAAAAGATAAGTTTAAGTATGCGGTAGCCCAGCAAGAAAAAAAAGCTTAAAAACAAATAAACAAGTTTAACTTCAAACAGGCATCAGTTTTGCCGGCTTCTTCATGGTCATGCAGTCCGCGAAAGGTTATATAATAAATGGTGTACGCTGTGAGAAAATAACGAGGAATCCTCTTTATCTCATTAGACATGTAGCTCGGGCGAGTGAGACTGAGTAGATAAGAACCCACTGAAAAATGGCCGAACTTTTCTTATCTTATTTGTTACACTGCAAAACAAACAAATAGGTAAATAAAATATAAATAAAATATAATGGACCATAGGCTGTCATAGACTACGAGCAGCCTCTCTTTTTTCTTAGTCCGTGAAAGAGAGCGACACGCTCGAGACACGCAAATGAACACCCACGCGACTGAAGGCGCCCTCGTTTCTCGCGTCCGCTCGACGCCTCCGCGCGCGTGCACTCCGCTCGCAGTCTGAGGCTGTCATATCTCGCAAAAATGGAACGACCGTAAGCCGAGGATTTATACGGTCCTATGGTGTAATTTGGCCTGGAAGATGTCCAATCCAGAACTACCTCGATGTTTACAAATTAATTTGGATGAAAAGTGCTCACACTGTACACTGCAACAGTGCCACGAAAGTATTTAAACTTATGGCAAGATAATTTAAGGCTGTCTTTTTCAATTACGGCCTTTAGATTCGTTTTCCTGTTTTTGAAAGAAATAGGCAAGCGTCACTGCATACCGGCCCTGAGAGGTTATCGCACCAAGGACGAGAAAGTGCTTCAAGTTTAAACTTCGCTGTTAAAAAAATGGTTAAATCTGCAAAATTTTTACCTCTTTACTGTCTGGAGCGTACAGAAGAAGCTGCTTCAAATGTGCCTCACTGAATGTTTTCTGGTCCATCGCTAAAAGGGCATTTTTGATTTCTTCAAAAGGCATTTTCAAATGACCCAAAAGAATAGCTGAAATTTAGAACAATCAGTCTTTTGTTAACAACGTTAAAATGCAAAAAGCCACATAACAAAATGGAGAAGAGCAAATATCGCACGGACACAGTTTCTATAGACACAATTTCTTATACGCAGCACTCTGAGCAACTACAACCCTCACCACAAAACTCTCTCCTACTACTCCAACCTGACCTCATTCCTCATACCTGGCAAAATTTTTACACAAAAAAAAAACTAATGAGAAACTAATAACAAAATTTTAACTCTTACCGATGTTGTAAGTTTTTCTTGGGTTCATTATTGCTGGTTTCTGGGGTTTCTTTTCCTCTTTAGCTAAAAGAAAAAATATAGCAAAACGAACATCAATAGCTCTCTACCACGCGATATTACCTCAAATTTAAAGGGGTCGTAAGAATAAAACATACTTGTTGCCTTTTGTATGGCGCTGAAACTTTGCTCGAGTTGGATAAACTCTATGACCTCCTCTGATGGTTCATTTGTCCCCAACTGAAGACAAAAGAAAGAACATTTATTGCTAAGCTTTAATAAAAGTAAACATTCACGCCAACAACTGCACAGTAAACTTGAAAGTACTTACATGTGTGTGTTAATGTCACTGATTACGCCATATTATTATTATATTAATATCATAGGTGACGAATTACTCCTTAATTTTGCCGCGAAATTTCAGCGATAACTTGTAATTTCACATATGAAATTACAAAATTGCCATGGCAACCTTCCGTACGTCTCAGTATCAAGATGGCGACGAAGTTTTAAAATGTCATGAATGAAGACGCCAGGGCATAAAAAGACCCTTTAGAAAACCTGAACACACGAAAGAGCACATCAAGAAGGATTCTAACAGGTATTTTGTCGAAAAATTCTGAACTTAAGCCAAATTTAAGCTCTAAACGTTCGAGAGAGTTGAGTTCTCGATCGATACGATCCCGGATAAACATGTCAGAAATCCAAGATTGCTAAGGTAACTCGTCACCCATGATATTAATAGGTAATCAAATGGTATACTCGTGAAATTAGGGAATAATTTCACTTGTCACCATTTGATTACACATACTAACGGGTAACGTTTTCTGAAGAGGCTTACCCGTGCCCAAACTGTATTCTCCAGTCCTGCTATGCTCAGTTTTTCCCAGTTCACTCTCTTAAGCTGCATTGTGTCTCCGGGACCTCCCAAAGCTGGTGGACGTGGAACTGACGACGGAGGAGGGGGTGGTGGTGGAGGTGGAGGTGGCGGTGGGGGTGGTGGTGCTCCCATGGGAGGAGGGGGTGGTGGGGGAGCAGCTGCACTTGAGCTGGTGTCTTCTAAGAAATAATCAGGACAAAAGCTGTCAAAATTCTTTAAGCGAGATTCAGGCGAAAAATAGTCACCCATTCTCATGCAGTCAGTGCATAAATATCGCAATATTTGTATTGCACTGGTTTTAGTACAATTCAACTTCATAAACGGAGAGAAACTAAAGCCTAGGTCAAACGTCGAACTTTTCAAGAGACAAACTAAATTGGGCAGATTAAGTTCATGAAAAGTTCGATGTCTGTCTTGTACTCAACCAGGGTAGACCAAACACAACTGAGAAAAAATTAACATAATATTTCGATCCACCCAAATTAAAATTTTGGATCGTCTCCTGAAAAGTTCGGCGTTTGGCCTTGGTCCTTGTAGTGCGTCAAATTTGGTAGTTCGATGCACTCTGTAATTGATACTACTACAGACTTTAAGGAAGATAACACTTTTCCACAAAATCTAGAATAAACAAGTATTTGACTTTTTTTGAGCTTTGAACATACCTCCTTTATCTTTTTCCCTCCGTGCCTTCACAGCTGCTTCTAGAACATTCTCCGGTGCCGTGTTTGGAGAGCTTGGTTCACTACCGTGATCTTGAAAGAAACAGAATTTTAGTATAACAAACTTACACCTTCATCATCATCTTTCTCAAAGCTAGGTCCCATACAGTTCAAATTCAATGTAATTTTGAATGCAGAGTATTTTCAAAGGATTCTCTGACAGCAATTTGACCCCAACTATATTTAACCTCGAAATAAAGTGTTCTACCGGCGAAAGAAACAATCATCTTCCATCATCCTACAGTGTACCATATAACTTTTTTTTCATTAAATATTGTTTTGTGGCATATTTATTATAAGTAGATACAATGAACCAAAAATCATTTCTTTTCAGGTAGGGACGCATTTTAAACCTCAGATCAACATGTATTTTACCCCCAGCTTCTCCTCTCCCTTTCAGTTCGGATATTGTTTTCTCGCTATTTTCCAGCGCTTCTTTAGTTTCCATCAGCTCTTGTGTAGTTATCGCCAACTGATGCTGTACTTTCTCTATACTGACACCAGACGCCTCACTAGAAGTTTCTCCAATGCCGCTATCACCACTGCCAATAGACAATCCTGAACGAGGGGTTGAAGTAACTGGACCTGTAGGAAGAGATGACTGAACTCCAGTAGTGGATGCTCCAATAGGACTGTGTACTTGCGCTTGTGTTTGGATACTTGTTACGCTTGATTTTCTCATTTCGTCTGCTAAGAGGGCATCTGCTAGTTCTTCTGTTGTTGACACAGAAAATAACAAAGAATGTTAATTCCACACTTTCTTTTCGCAAGTGCATTAGTTGTGCCTTAAACTGCGAAGATCTTCTTTGCATTTATTTCTTCACTCTGCAGTTCAAATATATGAAAGTTATATATTCATCATTTCATCTTCATATTTTTCGGGAATATTACCAGCTTAATTGGCTAGAGCGCAGCACCGGTATCGCAATGCTCGGGGTTTGAATCCCGGCGAGCCTGAATTTTTCAGGTTTTCTTTTCGCAACTGTATATAAAGTTGCGTCTTAAACTGCGAAGATATTCTTTGCATTTAATTCCTTAACCATTTGCATCACAAAGCGAGTGATATCAAAAGTACTAAATTCAACGTTCAACCAAAACCGCCACGACAAGCAAACAAATACAATACTAACAAACAATTTAGCAAACAGCAAGAAACAAAGGAAGGTACAGTCATAGCAGAGTCTTTCGGAAACACCAAAGGGGCAAATTAAAGGTTCCTCATTTTAAAAGCAAACTGTTTGCTGTATTATGGAGGATAGGGCTGTAAGTTTGGCACCTTTGGAACCAAAACAACTGTCCTGACAGAGATGAGGTGTCGACAATGTAGAGGTTGTGTCCAAAACAAAAGGTTTGATTGTCTTTAAAGTATTTTGAACTTTTTATTTGTAGAATTTAAAAAGGCTACCCTTTGAAGGGTGGTTTAATGGACTTGAATAAGGCATTTGGATGACGACACCATTTTACTATTCAGTCTTTGGTCTATAAAGAAAACTAATTCAAGTTTCTAAAGTGAATATCTTTAATTACCAAGTCCTAAATCAAGGTCATCATCATCATCCCATCCTGAATCTGGTGTACCATGCCTTGGAGACCTGGGAGACATATCACGCACTGGAACTGTATCCAAGTCATACCCACCTGTTGATTAATAAAACAAATTATGAAGGCAAGTCAAAAAGGTGATTTTTTTTTCGGGCTAGTGGATTTAAGAAAAACATTTCGCTGACAGAATTTTCAAAAAAATTAATAATGGATGATAAATGCATGCAAAAATGTAATTGATTTTGTAGTTTTTATGTTGGTCAATTCAAACAGAATCTTAATAGCAAATGTCTGTATAAATCGAGGAAAATCGAAATTTCGCGGCCACAGTCAAAAAATTATTTTCGCTCACAGACATTGTCCATAGTTAGGTATTAGTAAGTAACTAAACGCGGTGTAGTTTGTTTTTCAAAAGGCCGCTTGGATTTGGAGAAAATCGACAAAATCAATTTTCGTGGTTGGCGACTTGAGACTTGGCAAAATGAGGCGGTCTCAAAACTTTGCTCGCACGCAGACAGGAAGAAAGCGGGGTAAAATATTCCCCGATAAATCAATTTATAAACGGGTTCTACTGCTGGTTTAGTGATGAATTCTTATCTTAACGGTAATCTGGAAGATAAACAATGCTATTTTAGTTTGGATTCTTTTTCAACTAAAGGAAATTTGAATTTAGATTGAAAGTTGCGTTTTTATTTCATATTTTAGGCATGTGCTACACCTTGGTTTAACCTGAAAGTCAAGGCATAAGTTATTTAAACATTGTGCTAAAACATATGTAAGAATTGGCCTGGGAAATTAAATTTGTACTTCACACGAACCTTCTGAAGTTGAATAAATTTAGCTTGAAAATATGAGGCTTTTCAAGAACGTCGGTCGGTTGTGCTCGACAAGTCACGATAGCTGGGTTCTCCAAAAGAGGGGGGGAGAGAGAAAATTGAGAGAAAATTTTCTCTCTCCCCGCCGCGTGTCGCCTTTTCTCGCGTGGGGTGATTTTCACGCGCGCTCGCGTTTCCCTCGCTCTACTATCCCTGACGAAAATAGGTAGTAACCAAGCAAGATTCAGAGCCACCCTTCCACAAAATATATATATATATATATATATATATTTTGTGGAAGGGTGGCTCTGAATCTTGCTTGGCTACTACCTATTCCGTTTTCATATATATATATATATATGAAATAGCATCATTTTTTTATTGTGATTCTTCACTCAAAACAAAAAAAAGCTTCCGAGATCATTTATCGAGGTTGTCCAAAGTTTAAAACCTACTCAGTGTTCGTGTCTACTGGCAGGGTGTATGATTTTGATGTTTTCCAAATCCCTTAGTCAATACTTTTATCACGTTGGAGTCAAAAACTGACCACTTTACACTTTTAGATCAAGTATTGTTGGAAGTCAGACTATGCAACCTTTCAGTTGATGTATAATTGAACAAATAACTTTGAAAACATCAAAAAAATGTATGAACAAATTTTTTTTCTGCTCAATCTTCCTCAATTCGAAGGATGGTGTCCGTTGTCGCACAACACCACTCCTTGTCTTCTCACATTGTGACTGGCTGTATGTTGTAACTGATTCTATTAAATGGTAAGAACATCTCTCAAATCGCCGAAAATGTCTTAAAAACATATTTTTCTTGTGATATATTTTGTTCAACCACCTTAAAAATTTAGATCATGATGCTCATTCGGTTTCAGTAACATTTTAATAACCTGGCCCGTCTCAAATGACCTTTCGTTGGAGGTCAAATTACAAAATGCGAGAGTAGATAAAGTAAGAAAAGTGCCCCATACTATAAAGGTTATTTCAATCAAGTTTAATTCCAATTGCATGTTAGCAAATTAGTTATCGTACTATAGAAGTACATCAGATTTCTTCTCAGGAAACGACAATAATCCGTTTCGGCAACAGCAAGGCGTTAGTGAACTAATGCAAATGTGTCATGTTTCACTCAAAATTTGTTCAAGTTCAGAAGGTTTAGCCTCCCACACAGGCGTTTTTAGGGGAGCTCGTTTTGCATTACGAGCTCCCCTAAAAATGCCTGCGTGGGAGGCTACAGAAGGTTCGTCTGAAGGGCAAATTAAATTACCCAAGCCAGTTCTTACATATGTTTTAGCACAATGTTTCACTAACTTATAGCTTGAGCTTCAGGAAAAACCAAGGTGTAGCACATGCCTAAAAGTTAAATCGCGACTTTAAGCCTAAATTTACACTTCGTTCACTTGTTAAAGAACCAAAACTAAAATATAATTGTTTACCTTCCACATTATCGTTAAGATAAGAATTAACCGCCATACTAGGGCTAAAACCGTTTACAAATTGACTTATCGGGGAATATTTTACCCCGCTTTCTTCCTGTGTGCGTGCGAGCGAAGTTTTGAGACCGCCTCATTTTGCCTCAAATTTTGGTTGTTTTCAAGTCGCCGACCACGAAAATTGATTTTGTCATTTTTCTCCAAATCCAAGCGGCCTTTTGAAAAACAAACTACACCACGTTTAGTTACTTACTAACACCTATCTATCGACAAGGTATGAGCGAAAATTAATTTCTGACCGTGGTCGTCGGTTGCCCGATATTTTTACAGACATTCACTCCTAAGATGACAAGAAAGCATCCGGCAGTTGCTTACCATAACCACTTCCTGGACTAGTTCGTCCTCTGACCACTCCAGCACCGGGCCAGTTACCACGGGGTTCATCAGATGTGACTGAAAAAAAAAATGTCAATTAATCGAACATTTGTTCGCCTTTAAAACAACTCCAAGCTGAGGAAAAGGTAATTTTCCACTGGATCAGCTGGGACCAGCGGCTTGGATAAAGGTCACACAAATCTTTGTTACACAGCAACAAGACTAAAAAAATGCAAATCAAATTTACATACAGGTGATGAAAAGTTGAAAGAACAAATTATAATAATAAGTAAAAGCAACAAAACCTCAACAAATAGCATTTTGTAGTACACAGAAGAGCACTATAGTACACTGTATGCAATCTGCCCTTTGTAAGGAAGGGTAGTCGGTGAATAGTTTCCCACTAATATTTTCTTTGATGCTATTGCAATTTTTCCTTTGTACAGTTCCTCCTCTTTTTTGTATTTTCCTGTAGCAAAAATATATATTATTATTTGCTTGATTAATTATTGTTCTGAATTTATGGCAAGCTGGAAAGATCACATGTGAAAGTGCAATGAAACAGCTGTATTCATGAGTATTCGAAAAGATTTGGATCTGGTTTTATTTACCTCCTCCTGGAGTTGTTATGCGTTGTCTGGGTGCATCAGAAAGTCGCATGGCCTGTACTCTGTAAAGAACATCAACTACTTCATCATTGTTGGTATCCAAACTGGGAACAACACCAGCTGAAATGAAAGAATTTAAAACTTGTTAAAGTTTTGCAGCAATTTATGTGTATTAAAGAGTCACGTTACCACTCCCTCTGCAATGGAAGGTTGGATGCAACAGTGCATGATTTAGTGCTACTACCTGTAGTTAATATTAAAAAGGGGAGGATCTTGTGAACAAGATGCCACACCGGAATGGTGATGATGCAGCTGATGATGGTGATGATGATGATGATTATTAAAAAAGAGAGGGAGAGAAATAACAACAGAAATTTTCACACTCATGCCGGAGTGGACCAGTCATGTACAGCTAGAAAAACTGTCTATAGACTACCTTGTTTACATGTAACTTACCTCACACTACACCACTGTGTCCCAATTGAATTTTTCTGTGGCAGACAGTTTTAAAGAAGAAAAAGGGTAATGTGCTAGGGACAAAAATGGAATCCCTGGAATTCTAATTGATTGATAAAAGCAAATCAAAATGATTACTGATTGGCAGGAAAGCGATCAACTAATACTCTCCACAAAAAGAGTCATCATTGTGGCCGATACAAATGTCTTTAAGACCGCCATTACTATTATTACAAAGCAACGGCAAAAAAGCAATAGGGTTAGATTGGAAAAAAAACAATTTTGCATGTGCATCAGGCTTCTTTGTAAATTTCTCAGCCATAAATGAGAAAGTGCCTAATTTCACTTTTGTAGAGGACGGAGACACAAGACAACAACTTCCAATTTCTTTTCTAGAACTTTGATACAGTCCTTTAGAATTCAACTCCAAAAGATGAACTAAATGAGATGGAATAAAGAGGCAGAGCGAATTCACTTTTTAAGTGACGTTCTCATAGCTGTCGCTGTTGTCATTGCTTAAGCTCCCTATTATCATCATCAATCAGGGATGTTGCTTAGAGACAGCGGATGGTTAATTTCGCTGGCTGAGAGCAACCTTACCACTGGCTTACATTTCTGTGGAACGGACAAGGGGAAATTTTGTAGGTGCAATTGACAAAGACTTGACTAGCTTAGCTTTTCTTTAGCTACATTCCTTATCATCATCATCATCATCATCATCATCATCATCATCATTGACAACCACAAAAACAACATTATTATCACCTTCCTCAATCTGCCATAAAACTCTTCTGTTATTATCAGTACAATCATCATCACCATTATAATCACCATCAACATTATCAGACTTATCATCATCATCCATAACCAAAATAACATCATCACCATCCTCATCAATACAGTACAGAGTACAAATGTCTTCATCGTCACCATAAGATTACAGTGCAGACACTCAAACCGGGACACTTATTCACTGGTCCATTTGTTTTCAGAAAACATTGTGATTGGACAATCATCTACTGAACGTCTCGGTTTGAGTGTCCCCACCGTAACAGCACTACAATTTTTCTGGAATATTTTCCTCACCATTCATCTTCCTTGATATCATTCTTGCTGCTGCTCTGTCAAATGCTTGTTGTTCTTCCGCTGGAAGAAGTTCACTCAAGTAGTGCAACATTTGGAGCTTTGCTCCATCGTCCAAAACAGGTTCCAAGGCATTAATTAATCTCTGGACATTTCTAAAAATTGTCAGGCAAAGATTTAGCAATAAAAATTCCCTTTCCACATTTTCATAAAATTCTTTAAGACAGACAAACTAAAGACAATTTCAAATAACCAAGAATCTGTAATTAACTCACTAACATACACAACAATGAAAAGGGACAGACACCTCTGCAAAAAATACCACACATGACAAAAGAAGTATCACATCTACAAGTAATGAAACGTGCCTTATAAAATACAAAATTTTGACTGAAAATAATGTCCCTCACACATGTTTCTCATAGCTGGACTCTTACTATGAGTAAGTTTAATGCATTCTCCCTCGAGGTTCAAACCTCACTCTCTCCAAGTGCAACTCCTCAGCTACACATGTGAATAGCCCACTGGCCTGGTAAACTCTTAGGTCACCAGATGGGGTTTTTACCTAGTTGTTATGTTTACGTACTTTCGAGATTAATTTTGTTTCATTTGTTCCCAGAGAAGAGAGAGATTATTATGATTATTGTGTTCACAATACTACACTAAGAAAGCAAACTTGCCTGTCTTTACTATACTGGTCAAGGCTTTGTTTAATGAAAAGCTGCTCTCCACGTGTAAGAAGTTGGCTCATCTGAAACAGTATCAAAATTTTTTAAGTACACATATTTTTATTTTCATCCATTTTGAAGCATGTGTAAGTCACGAAAGAACTCTAAACTTAATTGAAGCATAGTGGATAACTCTTATAAATGTACAGTGAACATATTTCTTGTACATGTTATTAAAAGGGTTCTTACTTGAGGCAGAAAATAGGACCACTTGACTAGAATTGCCTTAACTAAAATTTACCCTGCTGATCACAAAAAAATGATTCCCCACAAGTTCAGCCTCTGAATTGACTCTCATTCCATAAGTGTATGTACATTCGGTACAGTGTACCAAAAATCCCGTGAATAAAGACATTCCTAACAAAAGCATCAACTAGATTGCACTATGCCATCAAGCCCAAACATTACCTCACCTGAATTTTGAACTGCCTGGACAGTATACGAAGATCATCCTTACTGTAACCTGTTCCATTCGTGAACAGATCACTCCTGATAGAGAAAGCCTTTGATGCCCTGGAAGAACACCTTGAGACAGTTGCTGGTCTTTCATTTTCAAATGTTACCGACAGCTGTGATGACCTGCTTGATGAAGGAATTGATGATAATGATGACTGGTGTTTCAAAGCACTTGTGGGTCGCCACTGAACCAAGAGAGTTGGATGAGAACCACTTCCTTTTAAAAGCCGTACTACATGATTGTGTGGCTTGCCCCTATTGAGAGATTAGATACATTTAAGGTGATTAAATGTTCAATTCATACATGTAAATGTCACAGGTCAAAAATTAAATTCAGGTTCAAATTTTTTTACCTAGGTTGATTCTCAATTTCATATGTCTCCTAGCCCTAATTCAGGAATAATTAGGGCCAGGAGACAAAGGGAATTGAAAATCATCCTAGGCTAATAAATTTGAACCTGAATTTAATNCACTCTCTCCAAGTGCAACTCCTCAGCTACACATGTGAATAGCCCACTGGCCTGGTAAACTCTTAGGTCACCAGATGGGGTTTTTACCTAGTTGTTATGTTTACGTACTTTCGAGATTAATTTTGTTTCATTTGTTCCCAGAGAAGAGAGAGATTATTATGATTATTGTGTTCACAATACTACACTAAGAAAGCAAACTTGCCTGTCTTTACTATACTGGTCAAGGCTTTGTTTAATGAAAAGCTGCTCTCCACGTGTAAGAAGTTGGCTCATCTGAAACAGTATCAAAATTTTTTAAGTACACATATTTTTATTTTCATCCATTTTGAAGCATGTGTAAGTCACGAAAGAACTCTAAACTTAATTGAAGCATAGTGGATAACTCTTATAAATGTACAGTGAACATATTTCTTGTACATGTTATTAAAAGGGTTCTTACTTGAGGCAGAAAATAGGACCACTTGACTAGAATTGCCTTAACTAAAATTTACCCTGCTGATCACAAAAAAATGATTCCCCACAAGTTCAGCCTCTGAATTGACTCTCATTCCATAAGTGTATGTACATTCGGTACAGTGTACCAAAAATCCCGTGAATAAAGACATTCCTAACAAAAGCATCAACTAGATTGCACTATGCCATCAAGCCCAAACATTACCTCACCTGAATTTTGAACTGCCTGGACAGTATACGAAGATCATCCTTACTGTAACCTGTTCCATTCGTGAACAGATCACTCCTGATAGAGAAAGCCTTTGATGCCCTGGAAGAACACCTTGAGACAGTTGCTGGTCTTTCATTTTCAAATGTTACCGACAGCTGTGATGACCTGCTTGATGAAGGAATTGATGATAATGATGACTGGTGTTTCAAAGCACTTGTGGGTCGCCACTGAACCAAGAGAGTTGGATGAGAACCACTTCCTTTTAAAAGCCGTACTACATGATTGTGTGGCTTGCCCCTATTGAGAGATTAGATACATTTAAGGTGATTAAATGTTCAATTCATACATGTAAATGTCACAGGTCAAAAATTAAATTCAGGTTCAAATTTTTTTACCTAGGTTGATTCTCAATTTCATATGTCTCCTAGCCCTAATTCAGGAATAATTAGGGCCAGGAGACAAAGGGAATTGAAAATCATCCTAGGCTAATAAATTTGAACCTGAATTTAATTTTGACCCGTAACATATGCACCAATTAAACTAATAAAAGTCCATTAATTTGTTCCCAGGCAACATCCAAATGGGTTTGTCAAGCAACACTTGACGCCTTAGGCTTTTAAAGGAGCAGTATACGTAGGGATGGGCTCAATTCCTTGCTGGATCAACAATACAGGCCCAGTACACACATGTATAATCCATGCAATACATATTCAGTGAACACTGTAAGGCATATTTACACCCAAAACAAGAGAGAGGCCACATGTAAAATTTTACAGACACATGTACATGTACAAGTATGTGTCTCACTACTGTACACATTGTAGTTGCTTTGTGCAGAATTGCTGGAAAAAATATCCGTTCTTCTGAGGTTTTGCTTTCATGAGCAGCTAAATANGTACATTCGGTACAGTGTACCAAAAATCCCGTGAATAAAGACATTCCTAACAAAAGCATCAACTAGATTGCACTATGCCATCAAGCCCAAACATTACCTCACCTGAATTTTGAACTGCCTGGACAGTATACGAAGATCATCCTTACTGTAACCTGTTCCATTCGTGAACAGATCACTCCTGATAGAGAAAGCCTTTGATGCCCTGGAAGAACACCTTGAGACAGTTGCTGGTCTTTCATTTTCAAATGTTACCGACAGCTGTGATGACCTGCTTGATGAAGGAATTGATGATAATGATGACTGGTGTTTCAAAGCACTTGTGGGTCGCCACTGAACCAAGAGAGTTGGATGAGAACCACTTCCTTTTAAAAGCCGTACTACATGATTGTGTGGCTTGCCCCTATTGAGAGATTAGATACATTTAAGGTGATTAAATGTTCAATTCATACATGTAAATGTCACAGGTCAAAAATTAAATTCAGGTTCAAATTTTTTTACCTAGGTTGATTCTCAATTTCATATGTCTCCTAGCCCTAATTCAGGAATAATTAGGGCCAGGAGACAAAGGGAATTGAAAATCATCCTAGGCTAATAAATTTGAACCTGAATTTAATTTTGACCCGTAACATATGCACCAATTAAACTAATAAAAGTCCATTAATTTGTTCCCAGGCAACATCCAAATGGGTTTGTCAAGCAACACTTGACGCCTTAGGCTTTTAAAGGAGCAGTATACGTAGGGATGGGCTCAATTCCTTGCTGGATCAACAATACAGGCCCAGTACACACATGTATAATCCATGCAATACATATTCAGTGAACACTGTAAGGCATATTTACACCCAAAACAAGAGAGAGGCCACATGTAAAATTTTACAGACACATGTACATGTACAAGTATGTGTCTCACTACTGTACACATTGTAGTTGCTTTGTGCAGAATTGCTGGAAAAAATATCCGTTCTTCTGAGGTTTTGCTTTCATGAGCAGCTAAATACATTTATTTTACCTATTTTCAGTGTGAAATAGTTGTTCACACTGTGATAGAGTATCCTTGAATTTCTAAACATTTGCATAACCCCACATATAATAGTTTCATTGGTGGCTTAGAGAAAGAGAGGCTGTAAGTATATTTATCTTCCTTCATTCTCCAGATCTTAGACTACTATTTACTGGATGTGAATGGTTTTAACTTGGATTTTTGACACTGGGAGTGAAAACCAGAAATACAGTAGTGCTTAAATATTATTGGACAAAGAGGTGTTTTTAACTCGCCCCCGCCCCAACTTGAATCCTGTACACCTATTGTTAAAAAAAGGATCCCAGCCCTAATAGATAAATTTATATTTATGCATCAAACCTTACAGTTAATTTATTACCTGACATTTAATCCATTTATTTCCAGAATGTGGTCTCCAGCTTTCAGTCCAGCATGAAACGCTGCTCCACCTTAAATAAAACAAAAAGAATACATTGGATGCTTTACAAACAATGTATGAAGTAATCTAGGTCAAAAAGAAGCTTTCATCCACAGGTGGCTGAATTGAATTATTTCACTATCACATAATTTACTGTACAGAGAAACCCCACAGAGTAGCTAACTACACAAGACAAGTTAAAAAGGTAGGTAAAGGCGCACACGATCCAAAAGCCCAAACAGCCAGAGCTCATCCTGGTTTCTTTAGCATGAAGCACCTAGGAGTATTGCTACTCCCCCCCTGGACAGGATGCTAGTCCATTGCAGGGTTACCTCCCAGCAGTATGTCACTGGTATCCATTTACACACCTGGGTGAAGAGGGACAAAGTGGAGTAACTTCCTTGTCTCAGGAAACAACATGACAGGGTTGAACCCCAGACCTTCAGATCTGGAGTTCACGGTGTAACCACTCGGCCACACACACGCCTTCACAGTACACAAGTCAAGTTAGTGGACAAAACCCTTTGATGTGATTACAAAAATGTTTTTTAAATGCCTCAACTTATTGGCACTGTTTGATTCATGGTTATATATGTATTAAATAATCAAACAAACCCAATAAAATATTGCACCATACCTCTATCGACAGTCTTAATAAACACAGGGGAGCTTCCACTAAGAGTAAACCCAAACCCTGCACCAGCTCCGTCTCTTTGAACTTGAACAGTCCTACCATGAAAATTGTGAGGAGAGTGTTAATTGCACCACTAAACAAACTTTTCTCTCAAAACCTCACAAACCTTGCAGGAACTACACCACCTTAGTTACATGTAATCCCCCGTAAGATCCATAGTTTAGTAAATGGATGACTGGCCAGTTGTTACAGACAACATGCGTACATGTACAGTACATCAACTAGTTACATTACACACGGATAGAAACAAATAATAATAAAACATTTATATACAGATGATACCTTGGGGGACCAGCAGCATTGTCTTTCACTTTCTGCCACGCCAAATTACTGCTTGTTCCATGTGACCAAGTGCTGACAGAAACAACAAATTTTATACTCAAATTTCTCAGTTTCAATATAACTGGAAGGGTTTCATTTAAAATTGAAGTAGCCAGCACTTTTGAATAGAGCAATCAATGGTAACAACAAGGGGAGGGTTAAAGGTCCCTTCTTTTAGGAGAGTCTGGGAATAGGCCTTTCCACAAGTTGCTCGGCAACTTTTTGGCACTGAACTTCTTGTATTTCGAGAAACTTTTTGTACTATTCTGAGTAATTTCTCTAGTGGGAGATAACAGAGGAGCTTTTAGTACTTAAATTAGCCTTTCCTCCAAAATTCACAATGTGTTTTAGTAGACAATTTATGAATTTCCTGTGAAAAAGGAACCAGTCCCCTCTAGCTGGGGCAGATCATGGGCGTAAGATGTATGCAGCTGGACTGCTGGGTCAGATGGTTTTTAAAGAAAATTCAAAATGGTGGACAAAGATTCACACTCAAGTAACTCGATTGTCTCAGGTGAAGGTCATGTGAAGAATTTCATTGGCTCATACTAGAATTTTTACAAGATTAATCTTAATGTAGATGCATAGTCTTTACTCAAACATTTTTTGGTTTTAAGTGAGGACAAAGTTATGCTGGTTTTACCGAAAAAATTGCGCAAAAATACTCAGAGACCTTACTTTTTTGAGCGACTTTGAGCAACTTTCATTAGAAAGAGCAACTTTTGAGCAACTTTTTGAGAAATTACGGGAACCTTTTTGGGAAATCTCGAGCAACTTGTGGAAAGCCCTACCTGGGGGTGTGCTCCAAAAGAAAAATTTGAAATTTTCATAGCCCTAACTCTTAGGGGTCAAGGCTGCCGGCAGCAATTACACTGTACATACCCAAACCTGCCAATTGGGGCAGGATGATGGCTATTGTATGTAGAAAATTCTAGGTCTGAGGCACTTGCTAAATCTGGTAACAATTCATCATCAGCTTGCTCTCTTCTGGCCTGCATGATTTCCCCATTGTTTCCAACAAGAATGTCAAATAAAGGCTGATCCTTCTTGGGAATAAAACTCCTACACAGGACACACAAGAAACATACCATATTTAGACATAATCTTCCATTAAGTCATTAAGGAATTGGTATTGTAAAGGGCTTACTGGTTAAAGTACAAGAAACATCTCTAAAAAAACTTTAATATATTATCATTATTTTGTTATATAGCTAGAATTTTTTTCCCAGCAGCGCATGCTCTCACAGGTTACTTTGATGTCACATGACATCTAAAAATTTAAGAGGACAGTCTTGAGACATAGGGCACGATCCATTCAACCAAAATTTCCAGAAATTTCAGTCCAAAACTCAATGGATGGGTTCAGTCCAACCAGAAAAGTTTCGAAAAAACTGGTCAACCTTTTGAGGTGGACCACTTTTCCCGGTTGGACCTGTCTGAATTGGATCTTGTTTACTGTGGGTAATGTCGACCGAGATATCGGTCGATATAGCGGTCGATATAGCGGTCGACACTCGGTCGATAGTCGGTCGACACTCGGTCGACACTCGGTCGACAGTCGGTCGATATAGCGGTCGATAGTCGGTCAATAGTCGGTCGATAGTGGGTCGACACTCGGTCGAGACACGGTCGATAGTCGTTCCAGATGTGTCTCGGCCGATATAGCTTTTCGTTCACCGACACTTCGCCGACTTTTCGCCGACATTTCGCCGACACTTCGCCGATAGTTGGTCGATAGTTGGTCGATACTTGACCGATGTATCGGTCAGTAATTGGTCGACACTCCGTCGATGGTCGGTCGACACTTAGCATTTCCTACATTTTTTAGCTTGGAAAACAAGGAATTAGAAAGCATTTTCTAGCTTGGACCTAACTGTTTTTTTAAATTGTGTTTCTGCTTTTTTAATTTCAAACTTCAATGTACTTAGCCAAAATTCCGGATTAATAGCTATTTGTCATTTATCTAGCCTTTTCTTTTAATTCATGTGAACGGGATTTAGCCTATCTGTATCGATGCCCACCACCTTTTCGCAGACATTTCCTCCCCTCGTTTTCTCTGCACAAGCGAGAACTTGGCGTGATGAAGCAGGTCAAAGCCCGATAATAAAAGATGTGTATTCCTCGCTCTTAAAGCATGTCATGAACAGTAATTAATGACGTCTTTGCTTTAAAAAAAGCCATTGGACTCACCTGATAAATTAACACACGACTGATATTCGAACGACAGTTAACCGATATACTACCGACAGTTGACCGATATACCACTGACAGTTCACCGATATACCACCGACAGTTGACTGATATACCACCGACAGTTGACCAATATATCACCGACATATGACCGATAGCAAGTCGAGGTGCGTCGTCGAAATATCGACCGATACTCGGCCGATAGTCTATCTCACTATCGACCGACTATCGACCGACTATCGACCGACTATCGACCAACTATCGACCGACCATCGACCGACTATCGACCGACCACCGACCGACTATCGACCGACCACCGACGGACTATCGACCGACTGTCGACCGACTATCGACCGACTGTCGACCGCTATATCGACCGCTATGTCGACCGATATCTCGGTCGACATTACCCACAGTAAACAAGATCCTCTGAATTTTGGTTGAATAGATAGCGCCCATAATTAATACCTAGGGCTCCAAGTACACAGTAACTAAATGCAGTAACTGTTCATCAGTAGGACCCCAAAAAGACACAGTGGGTGCCCATTATAAAATACAGTTTTCACTGATGAAAGAGCAAGAGAGAATTGAATCCTTTCAAATAATAAAATGTACAGTACATGATTTTTAAGATTTGCTTGGGATCAAGGAGAGCAACAAAATCTCAAGCAATAAGAATAGCCCAGTGAAGCTCAACTTGAAACCTTACCTTATTTCTTTTAAAAGCTTCCTTTCCACAGGCATTTTAAGAATTACTTTAAGGCTCTGTGCCAGTTCCTCAACAGACCTGTCTCGTGCAAACTGGTTGAGGGCTTTTATGAGCATCTTTTTCTTGGTTTCTTGACCAGCGAGGTAATAATTCATCTTGACACAAACATTTACGATATTAAAAAAGAAATTAAATGATAAATAGACAATTAGTTACCCTATAAAAGCTTAAGTTAATATTATCAATATCAGGGCTAATATATACCGGTAACTGAGCGCAATGTCATTTTTCAAAAAGAAAATTTAATTATCAAAATTAATATAACTTCGACTCAGTCACCAAAATAACGTACAAACTCGCACATGACGGAAACTCAACATCAACCAGCTGCACTCTCTTTCAAAATTGAATTGTATCAGAAATTTTGATAATTCTTACTAAAAAGCTTACTCCATGCGAATAAAAGATAATTTTGTTGCCACAAATTAAAAATGTACATGGCAATATAGGTATCAAATTAACGATGATGACCACGAAATAGAATCTCGCAATAATATTTCCACGTTAACAGTGATAATAGAGAACCCACTTAGGTAAGCAACGAAAACGGCCCAACAAGGTTTGAAGTACAAGTTAATCGCTTTAGCAGAATTATACAACAGTTTATCAATATACACGCCATGGTAGCAATGTAAACGTTATGTTTATATCAACAGAGACAAGAACTTCGATAAATAACAATTAATAAAAGCTACAATGTATATCGTTCATTTTTCTAACTTACCTGCACGAAGAAGTCTCTTGCACGTTGGTACCTTGAAGAAGAACTCTTTGTGCCTCGCTTCTCGGTTATTCCCATATCTGCAGCGCCAGCAATAAGAACTAAAGAAATCGTAGGACCACAGGAATCTATCATTTGACCTACTTCATGCTCGTTCTTGTGTCTCACATTAACACCGTTTATACGAAGAACGAGATCTCCACTACGAACACCGACATTTTGTGCAGGACTACTTGGTTCAATTTCTGCGATGAAAACAGGACCTTTGCCGCGAACTGCAAAACCAAACCGACCTCTTCGCCGACGAAGATCAAACGTTCTGATTCGGGAAATCACTGCCAACGCCGGTGGAACCGTTCGCGATCTTTTAGCCAGTAGGATGATTTCCTCTTTACTTAATCCTTGGACATTTTCACCATTTACTTCAAGTATCTGATCACCCGGTTGAAGACCTGCTCGTTGAGCAACGGAATTTTCTTCCACAGACAATATGACAACAGGGGCTTTTCCACCGACAGTGAAACCGAAAGCTTCAGGCCAATTTTCGTTTGTCCTCATATCGATTAAACAACTTCAGCTAAGATCTAAAACACCTGAACAAGTTTGTTCATTCTACAGGCTCTTGACAATCAGAAAGTCGAGAATTTAATTCAAATAGTCGCAAATTTGACAAGTTCTTGGGTTAAATCATCCCGTTAATGAGGTCCACAACATCAAATGCAGGTGTCCATTAGCAACTTTTTACCTTAATTTTGTCTTCCTGACAAAGGTTTTTGTTTTCCTCGTTTCAGAGTTGAATTTGTAAGCCTGGAATCTTGTTATCGAAATCCACGCCAAATTGATGGCATTTACAAGAAGTACCTCAATGGCAGGCTCAATGCAGTAGTGGTGGCTCGAACTCTGCACGTATTGAGTGACAAGCACTCGACGCCAAATTCTGAAACCAAGCAACCGAAACCTCGCGCCCTCTGTTAGAAACGAAAGGATTCAGAAACTGGTCTTGACGACAATTTTCCGGCCAGTTGACGCCTTTATCCTTTGTTAGAACAAACGAGCTACGTCATCCACAGACACTCAGCTGAGAAATAACTGCCGTTGTTTAGTTATTTCGCTGTTCGATCACTTTAAAACAATTCGCTTCTCTCAATTACGCTGTTGTTCGCTCCGCAGTCAGCGCAGTGTCCCATTGCATTATTATTATTCATGCAAATTGCATGACGATTTCATAACCTTTCGAAGAAATTTGCATATTTTTAAAATGGTGAGCGCTGAAATTGTCAACATCAGGAAAATTTCTTCGACGGCGGGAAATCCACGAAGCTCCTACGCTGCAAAACACTTGAAACGCAAAACGTAATTTGATCCCAGCCTTATCACTAATGTCTAGCCAAAGAGAACACTGGGTATTTTTCTCAACACTCGTGGCATAGCCGAAGCATTCAGGGCGGGCAAAAACAAACAAACTTTGATTGCTGTCCTTGACCTCAAGTTACATCATAAACCATAGCATTTTTCTTTTTCTTTTTTTTCCGTTAAAATGAAATAGATGTGTTTGTCAAACGGTGTCCTATGGTTTGGTATCTATCTCATGGGTAGGTTGCTTTTAAGTTCTACTGGATATTTTGTCACCGCAGAAGTTAAACATTTTCTTTTTTCAGTTTATGTTCAGGAATTTAATATTTTAATTCTTATAAAATTTCTTTTACCCTTTAACCACCTTTTTATAGGGATGGCTTGTACATAAATAACAAAAATGCTGCGGTTGAACCGTTTTTGACCTTATTTCAGTTTACTGCTTTATTCATTTGTTCATTTAAATTCAGTTATTATTTATTTGTTTGTTTATTTGTTTGTTTGTTTTTCAATAATATAATCAATTTATCTTGTCGCCAGAGAGGTTATTTATAAGGAGATTCTTAGAGACGCACTGTCAGTTTAAAGACAGACCGTTTAATTGCCTCTGAGGGGAAATCAGAGTGCTGTTACTGTTTTCTTTTCGAAAGAAAATCTACATACATATTTTAAAATGCAACCTTAGCTACGGTTACTAAGAAGGCGAACCGGACCTGCCGACCATAACAAGCAGAGACGCAACGAACTAAACTTTCACATGTAACCTTTAGTTCTAAGTTTGTTGTTATTTCCGTCTGAATATAGCCGGTTGAAACCCTGCGTTGAAACTCAGACACAAAAACACGCTCACACGACATTTGTCAAAACATTTATCAGTTGAAAGCGTGCACCTGTTTAGAAGGTAAACACGAGAGTGGCTTTTTGTTTGCTTCGAGGAAAATCATCTAAGTGAGAGTGGGGGTTTTTCAAAAATGTCAATCAAGTTATAAAGAGATCAGAGGGTATTTACAAAAACAGTACGTCGAATAGAACTGTGGTACACTGGATTAAAGAAAAATTAAAGCCGATTAGTGTATGAGAAATGTACGTGTCGAAATAGTCTAGCTTGTTGACAATAATAACATACACTATCACCTTACAAAAACTGAAATCAATCGGCTTTTAATATAAAAGGGTTTTACAGGTAATTGTTTACATTTCAATGAAAAGCAGACTCTTCTAAAAACAAAACTCGTGTTCGTTTTTGCTCATCCAAAAACCA